TAAGGTAGAGTGTGGTTAACTCCGCGGCTGTCTAATTGGGCTCGCATCATACCTACGTCTTACACAAAGTCAACTCGAACATCAACACAATCGACCACCATGGCTCTTTCCAAGGGAATAATTGTCACCTTCTCCCATTCAGACGCTCCAGGCCCTTCCAACCTTTCAATCCACCGCCTGCATGTCCTCTTCTGCACAGCAGTAAGATTTCTCCGGAATGTCCCCAGACATCGAAAAAGCCAGAGAGCGCATCTCCCGCTACTCCAACCAGACCAAGCTGAAAGCAACACTAGAAGCATCTCTCCAATGGCTACCGGACGGTGGGAAAGAAGCCCTCGCTAGTGACACCTTGAACGCAACGACTGCTAAGCTTCATGAGATTTTCTTCAATATTCTCACCATCCTAGCCTGGCCAGGTAAATGATCACCCGAGAGGATACCAGAACCAGTACCACTGACAGACAAGACAAGCCATACTCCAGTCAGAAGCAAGCCAAGTCAAAACACCCCAAGAGCAGCTTAGTCTCTTGGGGAATCACCAGCAAGGCACAGAGGAAGATTGTCTGAAGCGTGATGGCTCCTGCTGCGTCGTTACAGGGGCTATGGATGTGGAAACGTATTCCGAGAAAGGCAGACCAGAGGGCTTGCTTAGTACCTATGTGCAGATAGCGCACATCATGCCGTGTTTTATTTCCTACTGGAATAAATCTGCAGTGAGTTCCCCCGATATCTATTGATATCTGCCAATAATACCGATAATAACATCACTGAAATACAGATGACCACCGTCTGGGAAACCCTATGCCGCTACTTCCCTGCCATTCACCGAGCCCGAATGGGGGCCGGTGGCATCAATGCCCTAGTAAACAGCCTATCAAACAGCTTCTTGATAGATCTACCAACAAATCTAGTATTCAGTCGTTTCGCTCTCGCTTTCAAAGCAACAGTAAGTCTCAAATCTTACATCATTATTATTATTATTATTACTGCTACTTCATTATATTGATACCCCCGATGCAATAGGACCGCCCAAACATCTACAAAACCGTACGATTCCGCGCGTGTCCAACTAGCCTATTGATACCCGATGAGATCGAGTTCAAGCGAGCAACGGCGCCTGATCCAGAACATCTGGAACTACCGAGCAAGGATCTCTTCGACTGCCACTACCGTCTAGCCCAGATCATCAACGCCTGTGATCATTATATGGCCTTCTGACCTGGTAAATACCGGGATCATTGGGAGTACCACATCAGGTGGAATGTCGAGGCAATGCTCGATGGGGATGCTGATCTTAGCGGATATTTGGAGACTGCGCTGTGGTGGGCGTAGAGGTAGAGGGTGATACTGTTTGATGCGATATGTAATTCTCAAGTTAATCTGTAGGAGTTCACCTATGTTTTGGTCATAAAGTGCACTCAGTATTAGTCTCTTGCTCTCATTTAATGTCACACGATTGGATCCAGCTAAAGTCGCCTCCTTTTCCTCCTCCTCTCATTAGTATTATTCATCATGAATCGTATGGTTCTACATATCTCGCTGCATTCATGGATGCAATGACTCTTGCTTGATAGCTGAGATGTTAGAAAGACAGGCCAGGTAACATGCCAATTCTAAAGTAGCAGTAACTTATGTTAATCGATACCGAAGTCCGTATATATCCTCTTCGAGTAAATTGGTCTATAGACCATACTAACATCATGTCAACAGCTGAACCGAATAGGACTCAACGCTACACTATTCATAGTTGTATCTCGGTCCCAAGGTATGTGAAGTAATTCAATGTAAGCGTTGATGATAATCTGATATTCCTAGAGGAAATCCATTCATCTGATTCAATGTGTAATGCCATAGTAACAATCGCAAGAGCAATGATAATAATAACAATGATAATAAGTCCAGCCTATCAAACCCATCCATCCTAATAATATGAACAATTAAAACCCATGCCATAAACATATCGTAACACCATGACGTTCGAAATCAACTGCAAGCAAGCTAGCTAGCTACTCAGCTCACAGCTTAGCAGCCGGCTCGGCCTTGCCCGCCGACGAAATCTCATTGTACAACAAACTCGTGAGGAAATCGGCATAGTCCTCGCCCGTCACCTGGCCGGCAAAGTACCGCGCCGCGAGCTGGAACTTGTTGCCCTGGGGACCCTTGGCGGCCAGACTGTCAGCCTGCTCCTGCAGGAGACGCAGAGCATATGCCTTGTCGACCTTCTTGCCGTCGGAGGTCGTGATGCCGTGGTGCGTCCATTGCCAGAGCTGACTGCGGGAGACTTCGGCGGTGGCAGCGTCCTCCTGTTCCGTTGTTAGTATACATTCCATAATGTGCGTGAGAAAGAGGGAAGAGATTGAGGCGTACCATCAGGAAGTTGATGGGGATGCAGCCCACACCGCGGAGCCATCCCTCCATGTAGGACAGACCGATGTTCAGGTTCTTGCGGATGCCGTCCTCGGTGATCTTGCCGGGGACGTTGGTGTTCAGGAGATCGTTGGCGGTGATGTGGACGTCCTCGCGACGGACAAACAGCTGGTTGGGGGTGGGCATGTAGGTGTTGAAGATCTCCGAGGCGATGGAGGCCAGAGCAGGGTGGGCAACCCAGGTGCCGTCGTGACCGGCGCGCACTTCACGCAGCTTGTCGGCGCGCACGCTCTCCATGGCCTTGTCGTTGGCGGTGGGGTCGTTCTTGATGGGGATTTGAGCGGCCATGCCTCCCTGCAATACTATTAGTATCATCTTCACATAGCACCTTAATGTTTAAGGGAAGGGGGCCTACCATAGCATGCACTCCTCTGCGGTGGCAAGTCTTAATCAACAACTTCACATACGCATCCATAAACGGCACGGTCATAGTAACATCCGAGCGGTCCGGCAACACAAAGTTAGGGTGCTTGCGGAACTTCTTGATGAAGGAGAAGATGTAATCCCAACGACCACAGTTCAATCCAGAGCTGTGTTCACGCAACTCGTAGATAATCTCATCCATCTCAAACGCCGCCGAGATGGTCTCGATCAGCACGGTACCACGGATCGTTCCGCGCGGCATGCCAATGTAGTCCTGAGCCAGGTTGAAGACGTCGTTCCACAGACGCGCCTCGAGGTGCGACTCCATCTTGGGGAGGTAGAAGTACGGGCCGAACCCGCGGGCAACGAGCTCCTTGGCATTGTGGTAGAAGTACAGACCGAAGTCGAACAGACTGCCGGAGATGGGGGTGCCGTCGACAGTGAAGTGCTTCTCGTCGAGGTGCCAGCCACGAGCGCGAGCAATGAGAGTGGGGAGCACGCGGTCTGTCCGCAGCTTGTATTCCTTACCACCCTGTGTGAAATCGACCTGGCGACGGATGGCGTCGTAGAGGTTGACTTGGCCGTTGATCATGTTTTCCCAGGTGGGAGCGCTGGAATCTATATTTGCTATTAGCTACAGTGCTCCTGGGAATTATCCGGGGAAAGAAAGGGCATACCCTCAAAATCAGCCATGTATGTCCAGACATCCGAGTTCAACGCGTTGACGACCATCTTGCGATCCGTGGGACCGGTGATTTCCACACGGCGGTCGACGAGACCCGGAGCCGGGGGAGCACCCTTCCAGGCATCGTTCTCACGAATGTGCTTTGTCTCGGGCAGGAAGTCGGGGAGGTGGCCCTTGTCAATCTCGGCCTGGCGGTCGATACGGCGCTGGAGGAGGGCCTTGCGAGTAGGGTTGAAGGTGCGGTGGAGGATGGCGAGGAAGGCACAGGCGTCCTTGGTGAGGATCTTGCGAGCTTCCGAGCTCACATTGCCGAGGATGACGACGTCCTTGAGTTGGGTGTCGACTTGCACCATGGTGGAGGATGGGATTGAGAGTCTTTATCTTATCGGGAAGTATATGAGGGGGAAAGGGTATACTGGATACTATCCGGACCGGCAGGATAGAAGTACTGGAGATGTGATGATATGATATGAAGAAGGAAGTAGCGAAGAAGACTTTCAAGAACAACCAGCACTATTATAAGCTACCAGAGGTGGGAGGGAGAGCAAGAGAATATATGTTCTACACAGCGACTACGTCAGTCCCACCATTCACTTCACTAACCGCGGTCCATTGGGGAGTCCCGATAAGCTGGATTGAACCCAAAATGAGGGCTGCTCCAGAGCTTCCATTCCACGTGACTTTTCCGCGGAAAACCCAGCTGCGATTCGGCCGATAACGGGCGGGGCACGCCGGCTACCGATTCCGACTTGCGGCTTATCGTTCAGGCCGATTACTTCTTACTCGATACATTCGAGTACGATACTCTCTGTAGTGATCACTATATTAACTATACTATCCTGGAAGGTCTGGAGATGATTCCCGACGTGGGTCGGTACTTGCTGGCTCTGTTGCAGCTGCCCAGATACACCAACACTGCATTGTCCACTCCAGTAGCCACTCACGCAGTCAACCGAGGATGTTGATAAGCTCCTAAACTCCTAAACTCCCCGCAGGCCCGAGAGCCTTCCTCCCAACCGCGGTTCGCCGCCATCCTGCTGCCCTGTACTGCTCCTCTCCTCCGTCCGTCCTGGAGCAAGCTTCCTGCGGTCCGGCCATCGCCTACACTCGACCGACTTGTCCCGATTGTGATACGGTGCTTTTCTGATGCGGTGGAGCTGTATCATTGCTTCAGTAACTCACTCATGGCTGCAAAAAATTCGAACATGATGAGAATGCCACAGCTACTCTATGTATGCTCGTTCAATTCGCTACGCACATGCCATACGCCTACTATGAAACAAGGATTCAAAAGTACATCCAGTCATCTCTTCCACATGTGAACGCATGTGATCGCTGTCAACTCTAACTCCCGCTGCTCTCCCGACCCCAGCTCCAGCTCGGGTTGTCACGGATTCCTCTGCAGCCAATCTGTACCGTCCGATCTGGACCAGTCTGGGCAAAACAGGGAAGCAAAAAATAACAAGGTAACACGGGCTTCTAATCTGCCAGCTGCTGGCCTGTACACGCAGCTCCGTCCATCCGGTTACACCGTCTCAATATAGCGTCGGACCTCCCTAATCAATAGTCAGTATCATCATCTTACTGCAGCCAGCTCCGCCACTCACCAATCCGTGACGGCCTCCTCCCACAAGCGCACTTCATGCTCCCGCGTGCCCCCAAAATGCTCCACAAACGCATCGCCAAAGACCTCCCGTGCGACACTGTCTTTGCGCATGAACGCCGTCGTGGCTTCCCGCAGCGACTTGGCTAATCGGACCCCCTTATCGCTTGCCCCGCCCATATCCTCGCCCTTGGACAGCGGCGGAACCGGAATCTCCAGCTTCTTCTCCACACCCCGCCACCCCAATGCAACAACTGCTGCTAAAACAAAATGCGGGTTTGCGTCAGCCCCGGGCACACGCACCTCCAGCCGGGTTGCTTTTGCGCTCGCCGTAGGTGGGGTGATAAGCCGAATCGAGGCCGCCCGATGCTCCAGTCCCCAGGAGACCGTAACCGGCGCCCAGAAGTTCTCCACCAGCCGCTTGTAAGAGTTCACCGTGGGTGCAAACATTGGCATGATATCAGGAAGACCAGTGAGGACCCCGGCCAGGAAATGTCGCCCTAGATCGGAGAGATAAGCCACGTCAGGATATGGCGGATTTGGGTCGGGCGTGTCGCGGATGAACGCATTCTTCCCATCGCTCGAGACCAGTGAGATGTGCATGTGTCCGCTATTTCCGGGTAAACCCTCGCGTGGCTTGGCCATAAAGGTGGGTGTGATGCCGTGCTTGGTGCCGATCGACTTGACGACGTATCTGGCACGGTCAGTTTGATCTTATGTAGCTCGAAGTCACTCACTTGAATAGACCAGCTTTGTCCGCCATCTCTTTGGCCTCTCCGAACTGTAGTGCCTGCTACCGTCAGCAGGGACCATAACGTCACCCAATGCAACCTACCGCCTCATAAACACCGGGACCGCTCTCTGTATGCCAACCCTCGATTTCACAATTGAACTGTTCACACGCATCGAACACTCCATAATAGTAGTCTTGGTTGTGGATGGGACGGGTCAGACTGTACCCAAACATGCCCTCCGTCAGCGGAGGAAGTGACTCGACGGGGTTCTCCTTAAGAAAGGTTGCCGTGGCCGATGCATTGCGCTCGGGATTGGAGTGTGCTCCTGGCGCGCGGAACTGATAGAACTCATATTCCGCTGGGAAACCGTCAGCGAGTCTCAGGAAGAATATGACGAAAGCGCTTACCCCCCGCCATGGCACGATACCCCGCAGCCTCCGCCTTCCCCAGAGCGGACTTTAATAGCCCCCGCGGACAAGCACAGACCGGCTTATTCGTATCGGGATCCAAAAAGCTGACCAGGAAAAATGGTACATTGTTCTCCCATGGAATGCGACGGAAACTGCTTAGATCCGGAACTGCCACGAGATCGCGGTACCCGTTCTCTTTGTTGCTGATGGTCAATTCCTTGAAGTATGTGCGGTCATGCATATCCCAGCCAAAGATGACGGAGCAGAAGCCGAAGCCATCAGCTACGATGGAGAGGAACTTCTTCTTGGAGACGAGCTTGCCGCGGAGCATGCCATCGACGTCAACACCGGCCAGCTTGACCCGGGTGTCATTCTGGAGGACATGGGCGATATTCTCGAGGGTAACTTGGTAGGGTGGGGTGGTAGAGGACATGATGGTGATCGGGTTATGACACGAGCAGATTGAGGATATACTGCTCGTGGAGAGAACTGACCAGCAGTGAAATTGGGGGGAATGACGGTGAGGAGGCGAGCGGGACGCAAGGACGTCAGCCACCGCTGCTTATCAGTTGGAGGACCGTCACGGGGCCCGCCATGCCGATACTTGAAGCCACAGTGATTGGGATGTTTGCAGCCCTTATCATCTGTCTTATCCAATGGTAACAGATACAGAGGTTGATTGACAATGAATGATGAATTATTCAGCCAATATTAAACCGGCACACGAGCAGATGCAGTGTGCATGGTGGCCTGCGTGCCTGACAGCTGCCTGCCTTATCGGGATCGCCATTAGATAAGCGGGCTCCACTGTCCCGCATTCCTGCTTCATCATCCCTGCTTCTCTTGCATATCTCTCTCTACTCACTTCTTCAGCGTTATTCTCCTTGTTCTCGCTGATACTTGCCCAATCATCTCTATCCTTAATTGACTCTACTCCATATATCTTAGGGATATTTCAAGGTATGCCAATCCCATATAGTCACCCACACTGCCATCCACTCTACCCCGCACCATCCCCACTATCCACCATCACAACTAACATAACCCCAGAATCATGGCATCCGCTCCAAGAGGTCGTCTCCAAGGCAAGAATGCCATCATTACCGGTGCAGCTGGGTAAGCTACATGCTTCTGAACCCTCAATATCTCTATCGACCATCCCACTGACCAACCCAGCGGCATCGGCCTCGAAACCAGCATCCTCTTCGCCCGCGAAGGCGCCAACATCCTAATGGCCGACATCTCGGCCCCCGCCCTCGAGAAAGCCCTCGCCAAGGTCAAAGAAGTCGTTCCCACCGCTCCCCGCGTCGAGACCATCAAATGCGACGTCTCCAAGGAATCCGACGTACAAGCCATGGTCGAGTCCCAGGACAGCTGGGGCGGCACCGACGTCATCTTCAACAACGCGGGCATCATGCACGCCGACGATGCCGACGCCGTGGACACCCCCGAGAAGATCTGGGATCTGACGCATAACATCAACGTCAAGGGTGTGTGGTTCGGATGCAAGCATGCTGTGCTGAGTCTGCGTCGTCACAAGAAGACCAAGGGCAGCATCATCAACACGGCGAGTGTGGTCGCCTTGGTGGGAAGTGCTACGCCCCAGTTGGCGTACACGGCTAGTAAGGGTGCTGTGTTGGCGTTGACGCGCGAATTGGCTATTGTGCATGCGAGGGAGGGATTCCGGTTCAATGCGCTGTGTCCGGCGCCGTTGAAGTCAGTCTTCCTTATTCTTTGTTCTTGATGCTGGTGTGGTTACTGACATGTTGTAGCACTCCCCTCTTGCAAGATTGGCTGGGTGACGACAAGCCCAAGCGCTTCCGGCGGGAGGTGCACTTCCCTACTGGTCGGTTCGGAGAGGCTATTGAGCAGGCTCATGCCGTGGTGTTTTTGGCTAGTGACGAGAGCAGTTTCGTCAATGGTAGTGACTTTGTTGTGGATGGTGGAATGTCCAAGGTATGTTTCTCGTTATTTATCAGTGATTGGTCATTACTAACTAGATGTAATAGGCGTATGTTACTCCAGAGGGACCGGCCACTGCTGCTCCTCAGAATCTGGGGCATTAGTATAGCCATCCTACGATATATGAGTTGAATGATCTTGAAATCCGTCTTTAAAAAAAAATCCAGTACTACACTCTCAATCACAACAATCAACCTATGTAAATCAATTCATCTCTAATAATCTATCAAACAAGTCTATAACCATCATCCCCAACACAAGCAAACATAATCTATCAATTAAATCTTCTTCAATCCCAACACCCCCTCCTCCCGACTCAACGTCGTAAACCGACTAAACCCCCCAGCCCCCTTCTCCTCGTCCACCCCATTCCTCCCACTCCCACCAACCCCCTGAATAGTATTACTCTCATCCCCCCTCTTCGCCGCCCACCTCCTCACAAAAACCCTCTTAACCCACTTCCACCCCTCCACACCGCCCAAGAACAGCCCCGCCTCGACAAACACCACCCCCCACTCCCACCCAATCCCAATATGCTTAAACACCACATCATTAATCACAGGGATATACAGCACGGGGAACGTAAGCACAAATCCGATCACAATGCCCCAGAAGAGGTACTTATTGCGGTAGATGTCAGAGAGCCAGCCTGTGTATTTATTTCTAGGCTTGGAGTTTGAGATAGAGGTAGGGGTAGAAGAGTCATGCATATTGAACAGACTGCGCCGCAAATGCATCATCTCCCAGGCCAGAAGCAGCGCGAACCAGGTCATGCAGACGAAGGTGGTGGCGCGGGCACGGAAGACCGTGTCACAGGGAGTCGAGTAGCTGCTGTTGCATTCTGTTGCGAGGTTGCCGTCGCCCCAGGCGAAGAGGACGAGGGTGAAGGCGCTGAGGCAGAGGGCGGCCATCCAGATGCCGTAGACGAGGGTGTCGATGATGATTTCTGGGGTGAAGATGCCGTTTTTCTATTACCATCATTCATTTGTTAGTTATTGTATGGTTATGATAGGAGATAAAAGAAAAAGAAGGGGACGACATACACTCTGCGGCGGTCTATCCATCACATCACTCGCCGCCATCTCCATTCCCAGTCCGATATCAGGCAGTCCAGATGTAATCATGATAATCCAAAGGATTTCCACCGGTGCGATAGGGAACACACTCTGGCCGTTCTCGTCTTTGAAGACCAGTCCGATCAGTAGGGTTAGCGCTAACCCTACGTTCTCGGCGAGTAGATGCAGTACGAATTTCTGGATATTGTCGAAGATGCGACGGCCCTCTTCGATACCGTTGATGATGCTTGCGAAGTTGTCGTCTGTTAGGACCAGCTCCGATGCATCTTTCGCCACGTCGCTGCCTGCTTGGCCCATTGCGATTCCTACGTCTGCCCGCTTCAGCGACGGCGAGTCGTTCACTCCGTCGCCTGTCATCGCGGCGTACCGGCCACGGCGGTGCAATGCCTCGATCATCCGCACTTTGGTGTGCGGGGCGCAGCGCGCGATCACGGCGGGGAGGGTCGGTAGAGCGTCGATTTCGGACTCGCTGAGGGAGTCGAATTGACTGGCTGTCATGACGAGGTTGTCGGCCACGTCGCGCGAAAGGAGCTGTGCGTTGGCCGGGATGATGCCGACTTGGGCGGCGATGGCTCGGGCGGTGCCTGGGTGGTCGCCGGTTACCATGTGCACGGAGATGCCGGCACGGTGGCATTCTTCGATGGCTCCGGCGGTCTCCGGGCGAGGGGGGTCGTAGAGTCCGATCAGCCCAGCGAAGGTGAGGTCTTGTTCGACGGTGTCCCGGGGTGGGACGTCGGTGAAGGTGGAGGAGCTGGTGCGGTGGGCGAGTGCGAGTACGCGCAGGCCTTCGCGTGCCAGTGCTTCCATGTTTTGGAGGATGGTGTTGCGGATGTCGTCGGTTAGGGGCACGGGTTCAGAGGTGTCTGTGGTCCAGACGATGGATGTGCAGGCTTCGAGGACGCGTTCCACAGCACCCTTGGTGAAGATCACGTCGGTGTCGTCGCGACGGAAGATCACGGACATCTTTTTGATGGTCGAGTCGAAGGGGTACTCGGCCTGCTGTGTCCAGACGGGCTTGTCACCAGCGGTCCATCTTTCACGGCCCCAGTCGAAGCGCGCGGCGAAGACCTGGATGGCGATGTCGGTGGGCTCGCCACGGGCTTGCCATTGTCCGTTTTCTTCAGAGCGGTGCACATGGGCCAGGTTCGCCATGGCTGCGACGTCCAGATAGCGCTGCAGCAGGGCACTGTTTGTCACTATATCTTGCGGCGTCTTGGTGTCGCCTTCGCTTTCCCCTTCTCCGGGCATGGCGTCGATGACCTTGAGCTCGCCGTCATACGGGTCCAATGGGTCATGGGAGACTCCGACTGAGACTGTGCCCAGCCCCGGAACCCAGGCCTTCTTAGCCACCATGCGTCCTTGGGTGAGGGTGCCCGTCTTGTCGGAGCAGATGTTCGACACGGCGCCCAATGCCTCGAGTGAATCCATCTTCCGCACAATCACGTTCCTCTCGACCATCTGCTTCGTGCCCATGGCCATGGTGACCGTCAACACGACCACGAGACAAGCAGGGATCATGGCCAATCCGGTAGCAACTGCGTAGATAATCACTTCCTTATCATCGCGCATGTCATTGGCGCCCATCACAATGATTGCGAATACTACTGCAATCCCAAACAACAGTAGCGCCAGTTTACTCAATTTCCGCTGAAGTGGTGTCCCCACGTTGATTCCCAGGAACCGACCCACTGCATCTGTGCATGTCAATGTCCAGGCCACCACGTACCACCGCTTCTTGGTCTCGCCTTGAGGACCGCGACGGACGGGCCGGCGCCGCTGGTTGCCATTTTCACGGAGTGCCGCAGCAATCGCACCGATCTCGGTTTTCATACCAGTGCTGATCACCACACCGCGCGCGCGGCCCCGGGTGACGGTGGAGGAGCTGTAGGCGATGTTGAGACGGTCGCCGGGTCCAGTGTCAGCGGGGAAGGTAGTAGTAGATGATTTGGTAACGGGGAGGGATTCGCCAGTAAGAAGGGCTTCGTCTGTTTCAAAGTTCATCGTCTCCACTAGTCTATTTGGTGTTAGATCATTATCTCATTATGAATGTATCAATGGAGTGGCAAATGTATGACGCATACCGTAAATCAGCCGGAACTGTATCTCCCACTTTCAAATCGACCATATCACCCACAACGATCTCCATGGCGGGGATGGTGCCCGTCTTGCCGTCACGAGTGACGACTCCTGTGGGCGAACTGAGGCCGCGTAGCGAGTCCATGGTCTTCTCGGCGGCGTAGTCCTGGTAGACGCCTACGATGATGTTCAGGGCGATAACGGCCCCGATGACTCCGCCTTCGATCCAAGATTCAATGCCGAAACTGACGGCCATGGCGATGATGAGGACCTGAATAGTAGATCATGTTAGCGAGATGAAGGCATGATGGTAAAGGTTGGGCAACTTACCAGCATCATTGCGTTTGCCACCTGACGGATGATAATCTTCGCGAGGGAGATGCCCTCGTCCCCTTCGAGTTCGTTGGGCCCCCATCTCTGAAGGCGGGACTTTGCTTCCTGGGTGCTGAGACCTTCTTCTGAGTTGACAGAAAGCTCTTGCAAGACGGAAGCATAGGGAAGGGTGTGGGCGGGTGCGGAGAGGGGAGAGTGGGAAGGGGTGGAGGCAGTCTGAGACTGTTTCTCAGTGCCCATATTGGGTATAAGTGTGTGTTGTTTCTGTGTCTGTGTGTAATGCTTGAGAGTTCTCTACTAAAGGTAGGAGATCACGGAGGTGTCATGTAGAATGTATCCTCTATGGAATGAGAGTCCATACACGTGAGGCGAAGCAGTGAATTGATCTGATCTGATCTCTTCTAGATCCTGATTCTTGCTTATTTCCAATTCTAAACTTTCTCTTTGACATGATCCCGGGGAATTCATCCTTCTTATAAGTGTTTCTGTATCGCCGGACCTGGAAGTAGTCTTGGCATAGAGTATAGACACCCAAGGCCGAGCAGAACTGCCCAGCCCGCCAAGCGCCAATCACAGAACCCCCGGAAGCGATGCCTTGGCGCCAACCTTGGGCGCGAAGTCGGCGAGTCTCGCCTCTTTCGGAATTATGACGCATACGACCACAGCATTCCGCCACGTGAGCCAGTACGAGCATCGAGACCCGAGTTCGAGCAATATGATTGGTGCAGCGGCCGAGTGGCCCCAGCGGAAACGCCAAGGTGTTCCGGAGCGCGGAGACTTGGCGCCTCCTGAGGCAATAATACACACTGCACCGCAGGGTGACTGTCCGGTGGCCTTGGCGTGCTGCTGCGCGGGGGTCTGAGGGCCACTCGCTGGCTCAACTTTAAATGCAGCCGTCTCTGTCCTCGGAGACCTGCCCCAATTCCCCCGCCGGTGATGGATCCCATTCCCAGTATCCCCCCATGCAACCATCCCCACCACCTTACCCCTGCTGACGCTGCTGATGCTGCTTTGGAAGCTGTCGTGAGGAGTGAGTCGCTGGCTTCGAGCCGATTTATCCGACGCGTCATCTCCTGAGCGCAGTTGACCTATCGATCTTATCTTTGTTGTTGTTCCTCCGTATACTTCCGATGGCTGGGGATACGCACCACACCGGCATAGTGGGTGTGATTGTGGGTGCAGTGGTGTTGTTTGTGGCCTTGAGTACGATCCCATTGTGAGTTCTAGTGTTCCAGTGTCCCCTATTGGAGGCTCAACTGCTGCATGCATGCCTGGTGGAGGATGCTGCATGCTGGTTGAATTCCATTGTTTGGATGTATCTAACCTGACAGTATCGTGCTGTACCATCATCGTCGACGAGCAACTGCCAGACGCAGTAGCGAACTCCGCAACCTCACCGATGGCGGCATAATGCGGCAGGTATCGGTCGATCGATGGCTGGACGAGCAGACACACGCGAGCTGCGAGGATCGGTTATACGCTCAGGAATCCTGGTAAGGCTGTTCTCCTTTGGGTGGCGCCAACGCTTGGCCGAGATGCGGGGACACATTGCTGGTAGCGGTCTTGGCCGGACTTGCGTTCCATAGAACTGATGCATGGCTTCCTTGGTAGTCCCATCTGTCTGTCAACCCTAGCAGCGTCCCAAGATACCCTTCCTTTTCCCGAGCCGGCCTGGGTCGCACCATCACCCCATGACGAGCCCAGCCTGCATGATACGATGGAGGCCGATCGAATGTCTGGGAGGAGAAACATCCTGGTCCTCAACCGTTGCCACCATGTCTTCCATGCGTCCTGTCTCGCATCATGGTTCGAATACCATCAGTATAAATGCCCAATTTGTCAGACATCATATTTCAGCGAATAGCCCGCTACAACATTGCAGATAGTCAGTGACCGCAATGGAAAGTCTTTGTTCCCGCGTATATCTTTTGCCAAGACTAGTACTATGGTTGGCAAACTCTAAGTCCGTTCAAGTCCATTTGACTCGTTCGAACAGGGTCGTCACCATGACCACGATGTCACCTTCAGAACCAAGCATAATCGTTGTGCATGGCAGGCCCTAAATAAGTACGATAACGTACGACCACTAGCTGCATGGCTAGAGCGTAGCATATGTTGGCAGTCGGGGAAGACCCCACGATTTGGCTAGGATCCTCTTCCCAAAACTTTCTAGAACACTCGTCAGGCAGATCCCTGAGCTATTCTAGCCTTATCATAGTTGCCACTGGGATGCAGACATCCTATCAACTCACTTCAACGTCTAACCGAGTGCACTACTGTGCGCACAATGGCCTTCGTCCGTGCGCAAATGGGTCGCCTCCTTGGATGATCTCGTCAAACCGTGCGCTGACTCGGCTGTAGTTGAGCCCATAGCGACCAAGCTCACGCAGCCGAAACGACACCCAGTCTTGGTATATCCTGTCCGACGTGGCAATCCCCGCGATGAAGAGAGGCCACGTGATGCGCACCATCAAGTGCGGTCTGCTGCGATGTAGCTTCAAAGAAAGTTCCAGAACCTGGGAAACGGCATCATGCAGGGTCATCATCCCCGCACCCTGCAGTCCTTTGGCTAGGGTGTCTTTGAAGCACAGATGAAAGTACACGATTGTGCCGTAATAAGTAATGGCTGCCCAAAAGATCGTTTCCATCACGCGACGTCCGTCACCCACGACTTCACACGAGGGCGCAGACTTGGCGGAACTCAACAAGGTATCGAATTCCTGATCAACGGATTAGTCGCTGTCGCCCATCCATGTGCAGACACGACAGGTCATCTGCGGGATGGGACGGATACTTACATCAGATAACACGTTGAGCTCACTAATGATCTCAAGGCCGGACTTAATTGAAGGATTTCCTTGCCGAAATAACTCCGTGATCTTGAATTGCAGTACATGACTTCGATGATACAATGATAGCCCCGGCATATTCTCCATATCATCCAATTGGGCTGTGGTGGGGTAGGAATCCCCCCAGAATCGAGACGGGGATTGTCTGCCAATCCTATACAGCTCAGAAAGACTCAATCCCGCACTTCCTGCTTCGTCTTGCATGAAAAACCGGAACAGGTCGGCATCGAGCCTGGCAGCACCTGGGCCAGAGAGCAAAGCGCCTGGTGTGAAAAAGTACAGAGTCCAAAGCAGAAAAAGAGGGACCGCTGTATGTCGAAGTCTGTCTTTGGACAAATCCGCAGTCTGTTGCAGCACAGGGCTGTCGCATGCGCTCATGCTCTGGGCCTCATCTGCGACATTACATAGTGCGGTCGGCGAACTTGTCTCTGCATTTGCGACATTTGGAGGCTCTAATTGTTTGAGTGACGGGACGACATGGTTGAAGAGTAGACTTTCGATTCCGCGGATGTGAATATTAATTCCAGCAGTCCCGCTGCCGAATCGGTTCTCATAATCAATCATCATCCACAAGGTAATGAAGATGGCTTCGATCTGCGCCGGGGACTTGACGTCTGGTTTCAGCGCTTCCCGAAGACCAGAGAGAGCCCGGCCATAGTGCAACCTACTGTCCATGTCGGACAAACTCTCAATGGTACATTGTCCGTCCGTCTTGTCCCGGTCGTACAAACGCGACCGGTTAATCTCACTCGACGTAGTCGCCAACATCATGCTCATAACCATGGGTTCTTTAACTGCAATTTTATGGTATGCATAAGACACGGTAGACCACGGCCAATGCTTACCAAGGATCACGACCAGCGCAGAATCCTGAAGATAATTCAGGCACGAGCGATCAAAGTCCGATATAACCAGGGAATTGGCCGCTTGGATGCTGTTCCCAGCACCACCAGTGGGCGATAAAGAACGCGCAGGAGACGGGACAGGCTGACAGACCATCTGCGCTTCCAGCGGGCGAGTGTCTCTTCCGGGCCTTTTAGCTGGACCCCGGGGGATGGGGCCGCCCTTCCACTCACATACGATCCGGGCCGCAGTGCAGCGCCGGCACTGTGGCTCCTGCTGGCCAGGAACGAATAGTTTCTCTTCGTCGCATTTGACCTTGCGGATTCTACACGTGCGACAACCTGTGGTGCAGTAAGTCCGACCATTCTTAGAAAGAGACAACGAAAAAGCAAAGCTAGACAATTGGCGTAAGACAGAACTGGTGGGGATCCTTACCGGTCTTGGACCGAGTCCTCCTGCCGAGCCCATGCATCGTCTATCGGTTCTATCGCGTGCTTGCCGTTGCTCCACTTACTCGCGGTGTGCCTGTCGGGGAGGAATGTCCTGTCAGACTTGACATGTAACCTGGTCAAAAGCAGGGCCATTAGAGACACCGAGCCGAGACAAACCAACCAGGAGGACATCGAAAGGAGAGGGGGGAAGAGAAAATGCGGAGAATTGAATCGCCAACCGATGCTCTTTTTTCCCTCCTGCCGCCGTTCCTGCCGAGCCTCGCCCGCCGATTGGCTGCATCGGCACCGGTCATGTGACCTCGGTATCGGCAATTGTGATGGCTTCAACAGTACCAAATGCAGTAGTAGATAGTCTAGTAGTAGTAGTAGATAAGTCACTTGCTATCACTTATCAATTACGATAGCCCCCCTTCGGATCTCCGCAATCAATGCGGAGAACCATCTCCACCATGCACGATCCAACTATAAAATGTGCGTACATGCCAGTTTCCAACTCTGGCACCTGAGTAAATACAATCCAACCCTAAGTAGTACTAAGTACACACCAGCCACAACCATGCAGCTCGAACCAACACAACAACGCTTCATCGCCAGCGTCGAAGAAGCCCTCCACAAACATGCCGCCGAATTAGAAGACATCAACAAGAAGGCAAGCCCCAACACACCCACCCATACCTCACATACCTACTAACCACCAACCCCAGATCTGGTCCACCCCGGAACTAGCCTACACAGAACACCAAGCCCACGACAACATCTGCACCCTCTTCGAGACCCTCCAACGTACCAACCCATCCTACCGCATCCAACGCTCCGCCTACGACATCCCAACCGCCTTCGAAGTAACCTACACCCACGGCAGCAGCACCGGCGGCCGCACCATCGTCTTCAACGCCGAATACGATGCCCTTCCCAACATCGGCCACGCCTGCGGCCACAACCTCATCGCAACAAGCTCCATCGCCGCCTTCATCGCCACCTGCGAAGCCCTCAAACACCAAGCCCCAGAGGACTCCAACTACACCATCCGCCTCCTCGGCACTCCCGCCGAAGAATCCGGCGGCGGGAAAGTCCGTCTCCTCGACAATGGCGCCTACAAGGACGTCGACGCCTGCCTAATGGTCCACCCTATCCCCATGGCCCCGGGCCATCCAGAGCTACTAAGCTTGGCCACAGTACTACCCGGTGGGTTCCTAGCGAATGACAAAGTCACTGTGACGTTCACGGGCAAGCCGGCGCATGCGGCCGCAGCGCCGTGGGAGGGCGTGAATGCGTTGGATGCGGTGGTCGCGGCGTATGTGAATATCTCGCTGTTGAGGCAGCAGATTCTGCCCACGCAGAGGATTCATGGCGTCGTGGCTAGTGGGGGGGATAGGCCGAATGTGATTCCTATGTCGGCATCAGTGGATTATTATATTCGCTCGCCGACGAAGAAGGGATTGAAGGCACTGACGGAGAAGGTGGTTAAGTGTTTCGAGGCGGCCGCATTGGCGACGGGGTGTGGGGTGGAGTTTGAGTGGTGAGTTAGCAGCCAGTTCTCCTCCGTTCAATGCTTCTCTGAATGCTAATGCATGGTGGTGGGGTAGGGGTGTCTCGTACGACGACCTTAAAACCAATAATCCTATCTGCGAGAGCTACGTCTCTGTTATGCGCGCTATGGGTCATCACACGGTGATGAATAATGCCGGCCAGTCTGGTAAACTTACTGGCGCGTCGACGGATATGGGTACGTCGACCACCCACAATATACACATCATAGTCCTAGATTCAGATTGATTAACGATGGTAATTTACAGGAAACGTCTCTTACGCCCTCCCTGGATTTCACGGCCTCTTCACCATCCCCACAGACGGCGTCAATCATACCCCGGGTTTCACCAACGGTGCTGGTTCCCCGGAGGCGCATCAGCGCTGTCTGGCCTGTGCGGCGGGGATGGCTGTTGTAGCGTGTCAGATTGTGACGGATGATGAGTTTGCGAGGAGGGTGAAGGAGGATTTTGAGGTCGAGGCGGAGGAGTAGGCGGTTTTTTATGTTGGGTTGCTGTCATGATGGACGTTGTGTTTATCTATTGTATTGAGTATGAATGATTGTCATGACATGATGCTTGCTGGTCTGTGAGTTTTTGTACAGCGGCAGTAATAGTAAGTTCTATGTTCATCTATAGTAGTTGAGGGGTAGTAAATTCGAATCCTTCGATATACAACAAGCGTGCGATTTTTGTGAGCAACAGTAGGGATTTTTTATTTTCTTAGCGATCTCAAACTTGAAGAGTACTACTTTCTTAGTTACTCAGGGGCTTATCACACCTCGCTCAGTAGTTATCTTAACAAAATTGTCAACGCAGTAACTCCGTCCAAATAACTCGATATCCACAACATAAATACCCACCCCAACCCACTTTACCTCCTAAAAATCTTACTATATCAATAAACATACCTAAACCCCGGATTCTTCAAATCCGTAACATCAGCCAACACCTCCCTCTCCTCCCCTTCCCCCCTCTCCATCCCCATCCCCATCCCCAATCTATCCCTCCTTGCATTCTCCCACCTCAAGTACACAACAAACGCCACAAGGTCCACCACCACTACGGCCAAACACACAAACACGGCTATAAAGCCACTCTGCATATACCAAACAACTCATGTCAGTTCATTTCACGTGTACTGTATATTTCTATTGGGTCTGGGTCAAACGCACCTGATACCTCGGCGCCTGACTCTCGAAAAACAGCTGCGGCCCGATAATATTCCCCACGCAGTACATGATAAAGTATATGGCGCTGACGGTGGCTCGCTTGGTGATGCCACCGATGTTGGCGCTGATCATGGCCATGGAGAGGGGCAAGCTGACGGAGTAGAGACTCATGAGGATGAGGCCGATGTAGCGGGAGGCGATGGGTTTGGTGCTGTTGACGAGGGCGGTTCCCAGGATGCTTTTGTCGTTTGTTAGTGGGGATGCAGGGCTGGGGTTGGGTGTGGTTTGGAGGGGAGGGGGGATGTACCTGACGCAGGTGAGTATGATGGAGGTTATGCAGCGGCTGTTGGCGAGTTTGGTCGAGGTGAAGCAGCTATTTATTTGTAGAATGTTAAATGAGGTTCATATTTAGGTGGGGGGCAAAGGTAGTAGGGCATACGATATCAAGATGATGAGGAAGACGATGAATCCTCCAGGCATGCCTAGCAGCAAAGTATGTTCGGTGTCGTATCCGAAGCCCTTGAGGATAAGGCCTGAGAACTGTATATCGTCAGATTAATTGTGCAGTCTCCTAATAAAGGTAAGTAACTCACCGTCGTATATCCACCATTGGGAATATTGCAGCCCAGAACAAACACGGCCAGGAACCATGTCTTCGGGTCTGTAAATGCTTCCATAACCTGGCCCCATTCGATCTTATTGTTTTTGTACCCGGCTTTGTTTGCCTTCAATCGTGCCAGCGCAATGACCCTCTCCTCGTCTGTTAGAAAGGAAGCATTTGTGGGTGAGTCGGGCAGGCGGAGGAGCATTAGAAAACCCCAGAGGAAAGTGACGATGCCGAAGATGATGAACATCCACTGTTAAGTAAATTAGCTTTGTTTTCAGAATCAGGGTATCTGAAAGGGTTCTTCTACCTTCCATGATGCTAAACTGTCCTGGATCTGCCAGATACCCACGGCAATAGCATTACCGAGCACCAGTGACAAACTATTTCCACAGAACCAGATCCCATGGCGTAGCGGTTGTTCCGACGTGCGATACCATAGAGATGTAAGTAGGCCGAATCCCGGGGTTACACTAGCTTCTGCGCAGCCTAGGAAGAACCGGGCGACCATGAGTCCGGTGAAGTTTGTAGTGGCAGCATGACATGCGAGGACGACGGCCCAGCAGAGACTATAGCTGTAAGCGTGTGGTGTGTGGCATCAGGAAGAGGAAGGACGTACTATGTGCACGCTAAGTACTTCCCCAAAGGGAACTTGACAAGCAGTAGTGATGCAGGATAGCTGGATACTCCTCATCAGAATTGATCACTCAAGCTATAACTGCTTCACATTATATCAACTCACCTAAACGCAAGATACCCGAAGTAGAAGATCGACGAAGTCCAACTATACTCCGTCCCATGCAGCTTCAGGTCCGTCAGAAGACCCATAATAGCAGAGTAATTCAACGTCTGCTTATCCACAAACGACATCATGTACGCAACCAGCATGATAGGAAGAATCCTAGGTCACGATTAACCCTCCTCCCACTCCTATAAACCACATCCAAAGCATAACATACCGAAAATCAATCTTCCTCACAAGCCTCTTCTCCGCCTCAGCAGAGAACCGAGGCATCGATTCCAGCTCGATCACTCCATTATCAAAACTTGTTTTCACAGCTTCATGATCACCACCACCACACTCCTCTTTCTTTTCAGTCGTAAAGTCCGCCATACTACTGTTGAGAAAAGACGACAGTATTTAGGCGAATACCAACACGCGCATATTTCTCCCCTAAATACATTCCAACACCCACCCCAGATATCATTCAAACCCCCTCAGCATCCTATCAACCATATCTTGGCACGAAACTCAATATCAGAACTGCAACACCCCCCACCAACACGATAATTGGCTGTATCGGCAAGGCTGGCCCCGATCGACAACAGCCGATGCCGAGATAGAGTAGTACCTACCACTTTACCCCAGGTTTTCGCTCTTATCGAGCCTGCATCAGGCTAGCGGGTTGGGAATCCGTGCGCTGCGCTGATAGCAGGGTCAGGGTTGATGTGATTGGTGGTAGGGTGAGACACCCACTAACGGGTATTGTTGTTGCTCTAGGCAGGAGTGTTAGATATTAGGGCCTGTCTTATCGCCGATTCCCTATCGATGATGGGGAAGTTATCTTCTAAGTTGTGGTTTACCTCAGTAGTGTACCTGGATGATGTGCACGCTTGTAATGTGCCCTTCTAACTTAGGATGTACATTATGGTGTAGAATGCAAGTAGGACTCGTATAACGGCAGACTCGACTTTGGGATTGACAATCTGGTTTCTGC